GGGTGTACGTAGGTGGGATCTTGCTGCGAGAAGTCGCCCACAAGAGATGTTACTCGTCTTGGCTGCGGGTAAATCTCTCGGTCAGGGTTGAGTCTCAGCAGCACAGTTTTCCATTCGCTCCGAATTTTAACCAAGAGTTTGTCATTTGATGGTACATTTAGCAAGCAGTCCTTGAGTTTTGTTACTTTTCACCCATGCGTTTAGGGGCGGGCTGGTGAGAGCCAGAAAGGACTCTACACCTCTAGAGGCCGCCAGCTCCGAGATCCCCTGCCAACTCTGTTAATGCTCATTTGAGACATTATCCGTGGCGCACGACGGGGACGTGCAACAGGAGTCTTGCATGAGGTTCCGTAAAACCAGAACAGTGAAGGACTGGCGCCCGAGTGGGGTACGGAATATCTCCTTATACACATCACATCAGACTTAACTTCCCCTCATGCCTGTGACCGAAATCACCGCGCCACTCCACATTGTTGTATCATTCTCTCCAGACCGTACTTCCGCTCTTAACCCCCCCCCCCCCTCCCACACACATTTCTCTGCTCTCACCAAATAGGCTTTGATAACATCAAAGATATATTGCATTTTTGCACCGCCAAGTTTTGCCGAACCTGCTAGTCTGTCTGCTGGTAGTAAGTAGGCAATCATCTATCCCTGGAACCATAAAGTTGTGTTGCTGGTTTTTTTGGGAATTAATCAAGTAACATAAAGTGTACTGATCGGCACTCATAGAAAGAAGTAGAAAGATAGAAGAACACACTAGAGAACATAAAAATCGAAAGCTATAGTTACCGTGCCAGGAACTGATCCTGTCACCTCCAGACGGCGTGTGCGCCTCGCCATGAATACAAGTGCTTTTTGGAACAGCGTTTAATGAATGAGAGGCAGTCTCTGTCACATAGTTCACATAAAAACCTCGACACTTTCCTTCCGAGGTTGGTTCTCTTTCGGATGTCTCTTTTCTGTATCTTGCTGCGTTTGGCATCTTTCAAGATTCAACAGTCCGTCTTTCACTGTCTGCCTCCAAAGGAGTCGGTCTTCAGCTGATCTCGCCAGAGTTTCTGTGCCAGTGTTGATATCTTTTAGGTCTCGTTTGCATATGTCCATACATCGTAGCCTATAGTGAATGAAGGACATATGCAAGAGTCGACACCACTGCGCTTCAGGATTGCCCACGCTTGCTGTGCCCACTTCTTTGGCTTCAAAGCTGGTAGTGCCAGAAGCACGCTAATTGACACTCCGCCTAACCTTTCGGTTGCTCCCTGAGTATCGTGTAGCTGTAGTGTGTCGTCTTTATGTCGACCGCTTGTTATAGGTCATAAAACAAAAGACAACCCTCACCAGGTACTAGACTACCGATTCAGGCGACTGGTTTTGGCGCAATTAGATTTTTTTTAAGCCAAAATAATTAGCACAAAGAAACTAGACCACAATTATAACTGATACTGCTAGCTGAATGTTGACCTGGCCGATTTTTGCTTTCATAAATGAGGGATAGAATAGCATAATCAGTCATATTGTGCTTTATTTATTGTGTTTCACATTTTATGCTCATGGAAGCCGCCGTGGTGCAGAGGCTAGACTGTCGCCTGCGGATCCGAAGATCATGGGTTTAGATTATGACAAGCATAGATTTTTTTTTTTGTTAAATTACATGAGCCCTTTATAGCAGAGTGGTCTTTTTGACTGCTGTTCTACAAGCAATTGTCAACCCAAAAGACACTCATTTTGTAGGCTTGTTGCAACATATGATTCTTCAGTAAAACAATCTGTAATACACTGGCTCCCAAATCACTGTGGCTTGGAAGGCTATGAAATAGCGGACAGGTTGGCTAGAAGCGGAGGTGACATGGTACAACCAAGTAGTGACTTAACCCATCAAGATACTAAGGCATTAATACAATCTAGTATCCCAGAAAGGTGGCTGGATATACACACCAAATCGTCTGTTGAAGATTTGCTGACTGACTGACTTTCTACCCCACCAGGACATCACACAAGCGATAAACACCCGATGACACAAAGTGCCACCATGCGGATGAGGATCACCGTGGAGAGGTCCCAGAAACCGCGTTCAGACAATTGGCCATATTGATGACCTGCCTATATTGCGGCCCCTGGCAAAAGCCAGAGTGGAGCTTCAAAAAAGAAAAAATTACGTCCTGAAAAGGACGTAAGTAGGGGTAACTACTGAAAAGATTTGCTTCTTCGTCATTCTAGAGATGCACAGTGTATTATATTTATATTAAAGACAGGCACAACAGACTTCGTCAACATGCAAGGTCCGACAATTAAGTAATGAGACTAATTACATCAAAATTAAAATAATCAACTGTTGAAGATAACCTGTTATTTATTTAATGTAAGCCCCTTGTGCACGGATACAGCAAGTGGCAGGATCTAACAAACACTGGAACGACCTCTGTAGTTTTTCTGTTGTTATGACCATTAAAGTCGATATTACGGCCCTTTGAATGTCATCAAAATATTTTCTCTCATCATGCAGATCTGCTTTCGCCACACACTTTCTTCCATCACTATACACATCCTCACTTGCCCATACAAACTCCTCACCATTCAGGTCGTCGCTTTCTCTTACATATTCTCTCCTCGTTATACAGATCATGTCCACTTCATGTGCATCCATCCTCACTTGGCCGTACAGAAAAACTCCTCGCCATTCAGATCGTCCCTTTCTCTTACAGATTCTCTCCTCGTTTTACAGATCATGTCCACTTCATGTGCATCCATCCTCACTTGGCTGTACAGACAAACCTCTCGCCATTCAGATCGTCCCTTCCTCTTACAGATTCTCTCCTCGTTATACAGATCATGTCCACTCCATGTGCATCCATCCTCAGTTGGCCGTACAGGCAAACTCCTCGCCATTCAGTTATTCTCGTTCTCTTACAGATTCTCTCCTCGTTTTACAGATCATGCCCTCACCATGTACATCCTTTCCTCACCGTCAGATCCTGCTCTCCCCCCTCCCCTCCCAGACGTTATTTGTGCACCTTAAAGATACGACTTAATGGCTGAATTAGTTTAATTTAATTTAATTTTCAAATCTGATATAAGCAATTTAGTAAAGTACCCTGGCGCATCTAGATGTGATACTATCTTCTATATATATAAAATAAATGTTGACTCTTTCAGTTGCAAACAAGTGGATTTGGAGCCATCAGAACACGTTTACTCGACGCTGTGGTCTGGCTAAGAACTCCAGTCAACTGGACATCGACAAGTATATGAGATACGGCTGGCACTAGGTTCCAAATTTAGCTCTCAATTAAAACCTATATTTTGTATGTTCTGAAAAGCGCTAAATCTTTCCGAAATGATCATAGTTCCCTGATAAACGCAGCCTTGAATGGGTGCCAGGTAAAGTTCCTAGGCAAAAAGGCAATGTAGTCTGATTGGTCTATAAAATATATATAATGCGACTAAAGGTATAGAAACTGCTCCTTTACTTACTTTACGTTTTAAAACCAGTAACATAATGTACATACGATTCTAGACTCGTATTTTTTAAAAAATTGTTCAAGGCCAATCGGCACTCGGTGAGTGGTGTGAACATTGCAGAATGTTCATTTTCATTAGCACAACCGTTGGCTAATATTCACTGTATCACTACTTGTGTTTTTAAGGACATCCTTTAAATGGTTTCTTATTACGATTTTTAAAATTTCAAAGCATGATAATGAGGAGTGGGAATATTTTTTTTTAGCTTCACTCGACTAATAGGAGTGTGCCTAACTTAAAGAAGGTTGATTGACGTCTACCCTAACGCTGTTGACCGCGTCTCTGTATTGCAAAACGTAGATCTCACCAGCTCCCTTTGCGTAACTTTTTTAGCAAACCATCTATGGACACACGTATCTAATTATGAAATTATGAGAGGAGTATGGATTCAAGAGCTTAGAAATTGATAAGTGGCTTTGCTCTAACTCAGTGTGATCTTTTTGGTGATAACTCCTAGGTAGTTCAAAACTGTACTGGTTAGATATGGAAAGCTCGCCCATGGTTCTGACGTCAGAGATTCACGCATCATCATTTCAGATTTTATGTGCGCTTATTGTCTCGTCGTTCTCTTTTAGATGATTTATTGTTTCTATTTCTATATATATATATATATATCATTTCTAAAACATTTTTTCTTTGTCTTTAAGTTATGGTGACATTGACGGTTTGGACGCCTTTTGAGCTTTTCAAACTGAGTGAGGGTTTTGTACTGTTTACGAAGGAAAGACTGGTGTGGATTATTATGACAAGGGTTTATTAGCTTCAGCGCAGAGAGCTCAGTTATTATACAGTATATGATTGGTACAGTAACTCTGCTCCAAACAACCACCTTAAGAGTAAAGAAACACGAACAGGAAACACACAGCCACACACAATCACAGACAATCTCACACAAAGTCAAACAATCACAGACAATCTCACACAAAGTCACACAATCACAGACAATCTCACAAAGTCGCACAATCACAGACAATCTCACAAAGTCGCACAATCACAGACAATCTCACACAAAGTCAAACAATCACAGACAATCTCACACAAAGTCAAAAAATCACAGACAATCTTACACAAAGAGAGACGGCTGTATCATTTTTGTTAGCATTATTTTATTTTCAGAAATCCTAACAATGTAAAATCTTACTTTTAAGGATACTACTGAAGGTTTTCGGTGCTTGTTGTGTGACTTTATGAATCGTACACTTCGTTTTACGCTCACTCACATATAGTTTTAGGGATTGCCATACAAGTGCAGTTTCACTTTTTTTTTTTAACTGGTCATTTTTCAAAATACCAAAGGCTCACATATGAATTGCTACTCTAAATAGATCACAGGGAATTATTACTTTTCATACAGCTATGCAATTTTCATCAGATTTTCCAAAGAGATTTTTCTCCGAATACGGTGACCTTGTCGAAGTACCAGCGATATGTTACAGACAGAGGAAAATGCACAATGTCAAGATAAAACCGAGCTGATGTTACACCCAGCCTTTCCTCATGTATGGTTCTATGTCCAACTGTGTTGCTTTGGGTGTCAGACCGCATCGTCGGGTAAATGTGTTGCCGTAATTCCACATCCATTTATTTGATACTGGCAAGAGAAAACATACAGTTTTTATTCACTGGAAGACACCAGATAATGCTTTAGAGTGAAGTTTGAACAATAAAAATTATTTTAAGAAGGATAAGTAAATAGGGAAAACAATCACCAAGCAACTCTGGCAAATCGACTGGTGCTCCTTGGTTCTCATCATGTAAGGCGGGTCTGCGTGAAAAATTGTTCACCCTTGAAAAAGAAAGTTCGTTCGTTTGTTCAATCGTTTATCATTGTGTGCCACGCTGAGTTGGAAAACATAAGCAGTCATGACTTTCCATCTCTTTCGTACCCCTGTTCTTTTTCCCCCTGGATGCCGGGTTCGATCCCAGCTGCCGTTATTGCGCCTTGCGTTGGTTTCGACTGTGGTATCAAGAAAGCCGACCGTTTAGAAAGCAATGGCAAACTACTGGACGTAAATTTGCCTAGAAAAACCACACAGGGGCTGTTGGGGTTGGTTCTGCAACGTCCTGTAAAGGATACGCAGCTAACCTTATCCCTGTAGCACATGCATTGTGACGCTAGTAGTCATGTACATCCACAACCTTCTATCTCGTGTACTTTCTATCAGTTCTTAGATTTATGGTCTTCCATATCTTGCTGTAATACTGTCCAACATCTCCTTTCTTGGTCTCAATCTGCCTCTTCCCCCCTCCACCCCTTTGACAACTGTCAATCGTTAAGTGCCGAATGGTTAATTAGGAATCAACATTATAGCACTCAGGACACTCCCATAAGCGCTTGTCCCCATTTTCAGCAGCACGCTTAGAGTTCCAATTCTGATAGTACCAGTAACTTTCTGACTGTTTATCCGTCTCGCCTGTCCTTTAAGTGTTGAGCATCAATTAGATTCCCTGGTAACTCGTCGCAGCGCCATTCTCCTGTCGATCCATTCAGATCACCATAATAACGGATCATGTTTTCCATTGCATTCCTTTCTGTCAGTGACCACACACTGGTCGAATGGCTTTGGCTATTGCCACCGAAGAACGCCAGTTTGCGAGGTTTAAGGTTTAAAATTTAAAGAAACTATCAATTTCTTTTCTTAACAACCTAGCTCTTTTTCAGAAAATTAAAAAAAAAAATATGGAGTAAGGCAGTGAGATAAGAAATATATAGTGTCGTAGACAGGTCATGCAGACACAGTGATATTTATTGACTGCGGCTAAATTTCCGGCGCTAGCCTGTTTAGGACAACGCATCACTTGTTAGGCTGCAGTGTAGCACCGAAATCGTGAAGCCATTACATGATCAGGCAGACGTTTCTGGCGGCTTACCGATCATTTTAGCCGACTACAAGAGGTCCACAACGACTGATGAGAAACATCGATATAAACAAGACAGCATGGGAAGCTCGCATGGGTGAAAGGGGAAATAACTGGTGCAAGCTACAAACAGAGGAACAGGGTTTAAGGGTCTGCTAGATGTATTGCTGCCTGTCTTTGATATCATCCTAAAAGTTTACATTCAGTTCTTTCCCTTGCCAACACATAGTACACCTCGGTGCACGAACACACTGACATAGTTTTGGCGCAATGTTTTCGGCTAAGGAATGGCATCAATTGTAGTCAGGCGTCAGCGCATAAAATTAATGCTCATAATAAATACAAACGCTCGTAAATAAAGACTAAGTGTATTACAGTAGAAACGAAGAAATAAATAATAACTAAACATGAGAATGGCGTTCGTATTCGTGGTCTGGCCATGCAGTACGACATGGCTGAAACTACGAACTGTGCTATCTTCAAGAACAAAGGTGCGCTTAAGACGGCTAATGTTTATAAAGGGGTTAGCCACCAAGCCATTATTCGAACCATTACACCAAATACAAACAAGAGACAACATTTCAGAAATGCCTTATACATTTCTCGAGAGAAAACTAGATACCTTGTCACACTGCCGTCTGGCAGATACTCTCAGGCTCAATCCATCAACTGCTCCCATGTGCTCTGAGGTTATCGTCAGTATTTCCAGACATGTGCAACGAATGCTTACGACTGTCCTGTGTTGATTAACCTAAAGTATTGTGTGCCCTTAGTGAAACTGCCACTTTGAGACGTGTCTGAGAATCATCTGATAGGAAAAAAGGACCAGGTATGGAGCTTACCACTTAACCTAATGTTCTGGCAAAGACTATTTTAAGCTCTAACATTTCACACTCGATAGTAGTATTTTCTGCTGGTGATCGCTGACTTCATATTTTCATAAATGTTTCTATTGGAGCATTACAGGGTTTTTGCCATCTAGGAAAGCACTCAGACATTGGCAGGCTGACCGTACTTACCCCATTTATTTCCCACAACAATTGGACAACCACCATGAACTGTCAACTGGTCTAATTCTCCTGAAGGTTTGGCATTGTACCAAAATACTGCCATTTTCTGTAATAAAATAGTACATTACCACAACAACGTTTGCTACAACTTGTAGTATGAATAACCGTTAGCATGAGTGTATCTGTGTGATTGTGTGTGTACGTGTTGTTTCTAATATTGGTGGCATGAACTACAAGGTTTATGAAATTTGTTTTACCAGCTACGCTATTTATGAGCTGACTTGTATGATCTACATGGTTTGTGGTGTTTGTTCTTGTGAAAATACATGGTCTGCGAAGTTTGTTGTAAGATATATATATCTTGATAGTGGGTACAGTTTCCCAAAACTTTTTTCAAGAGACATAAAAATTAAATGGAAAGACACGATTCTACACACAATTGCCCTGTATAAGGTAAACTTCCGAAGCATCCTCGCATATGGATTAAATATCCGCTGGGCTGATCACCCAACCGCCATGCTATATATATATATATATATATATATATATATATATATATATATATATATATATATATATATATATATATGACACTGGTCATATGAAATGCGTGGTTTATGAGATTTACTGCATGAACTACATGAGGTTTATTGTGTGAATTACGTAGTTTATAAAGTTTCTTGACATGCATTACGTGATTTGCAAGCTTTGTTTATGAAAAACAAATTTTACAAGTTTGTTGTTTTGTTTATTAAGTTATTTTTATGTGAGGTATTCTGTATGAAATATATAAATTCATCACTGGGGATACGGCACATGACTGGTCGACAAATACTGATTTCACAATAAAATGAGCGAACAGTGCGAAGCACACACACACACACACACACACACACACACACACACACACACACACGCACACGCACACGCACACACGCACGCACACGCACGCGCACGCACGCGCACGCACGCACGCACACGCACGCACACACGCACACACACACACTCACACACACACACATCAATACGGTCTGAAGAGAATGAGGCAGGCCGCGGGGTGTTACCGGGGGATTCGGCTGATACACAGCGCTCAGTGGAAATGCAAGACCCAACACAGTCAGACGCAACTGGTACTATCGTAATTGTAACTCTGAGCTGGCTGCTGAAGACAAGGATGGGGCGTTAATAGAAAGTTTGTGAGTGATATAATGTCAGTCGGTTCATAACCCAACTCTACAAAGCTCACCCTGCCATTAGGGAATGAATGTATCCATTGGTGTTAGTGTCCCTTCCAAAACGGCTGAAATCGAATCTGGGGTCACTACTCGGTGTACCTGACCCGGTCGAGAACAGTCTGTCACAGAAGTCACGCCGTTTTGAAATGTCCTGCTCCATTCATACACTTGCTGGACTGACAGACATGCATCACCATACAGGACCTTCATATGCCGATGACGGTTTATAGTTTTCATCTTTTCATTGATGTAAACAACAACAACAACAACGGATGACAGAAGCCTGCATCTCTTTGGGACTTATCTACACACACACAAAAGTGAGGTGGTTTTCTTTAAACTGTCATTATAATTTTACCGTGTTCGTGTGAAACCATATTAGATGCTTAACACTCTTGACATCCCTAACAAAAATATTGCATGGTTTACAATACAATAACATCATCACTGTAATTTATCATCGTCATCAAGTGCCTTGCCGGCTTGTGTGGGCGATCATGCCTCTCCATAATCTGCGATCTCCTGCAGCATGTATCAGTTCGTGTGGCGACACAGCTCTACTTTATGCAATAAGACTGTCAAGCAACTTCTCTCGTTGTCTTCCTCTATCTATCCTTCCACAGATCTTTTCAGTGGTCACAACATGTTCTATTTTCCCTCTTCTCATAACATAGGGGAAAAGTGATGACTGTCTCCTTCTGATGTCTTCGGGCTCCCACCTCTTTCAAAATCTCTTGGTTGCTCTTTTTGGCTGTCCAAGGTATTCTAAGCATTCTTCTGTAAAACCACATCTCTGAGGCCTCTAGAAATTGTTTTGCCAGCCTACCTATTGTCCAGGATTCACAGCCATATGTTAAAACTGGATGTATATAGCAAGCAAAAATTCTTTTTCAAACTCTCAATAAAAGGATTTATTGCACAAGATGTTTTTCATTTTATAAAATGCAATTTATTTCCTGTCCTATTATGTTTCTTATCTCAGTTATGCATCTTCCATCTGATGTTATCCATGTGCCCAGATACTTATATTTCTGTATTTGTCCTAAAATAACACCATCAACTTCTATTACACACTAGGAATAATACGTTTCTTTTATCCCATCATTACTTCTGTCTTCCCATTATTCAAACTGAGGCCTATTTTTTCACTGTAATTTATATCGTAATTTAAAGGTCTTTATTTGAAGTCTCCTGCTGTATTAAAAGCGTTTTTAGAACTGCTTACCTTGACTGGGCTGAGAGCAACATCAAGTTTCGGAAAAACGGTTGATCCGCCTCGCTCTACATCCGTCAGCTACAACAGTATACAAACAAAATACAGTCAAACACTGCTTCTTCTTTTTTCTTCTGTTCAATAAAGCTGACTGTCGTCGATAGATTCACTTATCTTGACAGTGCGCTATCCTAGAGAGTTACCATCGACGATGAGATCAACGCTAAAATCTCAAAGGACAGCAGCACACTCGGCAGTCTGTATGTATACCATTGTCTACAATAGAATTGGTATCTTCTTGCGGCCAAAGTTGAAAGATGAGCGGAAAATAATTATATAAGTACTGCATTATGCATGACAGAGTATTAGCGGGGGTGTTGGGGGGATTGGGGGAGAGATCCGTTTCCCATAACCTTTCTCAGAAGATTTAAAAATTAAATGGAGAGACACGGTTCTACACATTAAGGTTGTGTAAAAGACAAACTTCCGAAGCATCCCCACAGATGGAGGAAATATTGTATCAGCTAGGCTGGTCATCCAACAGCCATGCTAGACCATCGTCTTCCAACGGTAATATTTTATGGCGCACTCCAGCTTGGGAAAAGATCTGCTGATGAACAGTCAATACGCTATAAAAATTGTTTTTAAAGCTTTTGCATGGAGAAACTGCTGCACAAGACAGATATTGATGACACGCAGCCTCAAGTACGATGCATCGGTCTGCATTGCAGTAGAAGTTGTAAAAGCAGAGAAACGACGGTAATCTAGAAGTAACTGTGTGGCTTATAGCAGCACTTTTGTTTCTTTCATCTGATGCCCGTACTACTCAAGAACTCCAGACCATTCTTGCTACACTGTAGACTAATCAGCCCATAAGCTCATCAACTACATACTCACTATATCCGGGTCAATTATATCAATTTATATTGAATTCTTAAAGCATATCAATCAGTTAAGCTGTTCATTGCATTTCCCCTCTGCCACACTGACACATGAACCCCGGACGCGGAGGTCAATGGACGTGTTCCATCACGGACGCGGAGGTTAATGGACGTGTTCTAGCACTGAGATGTATTACCACCCTGAACGCTCACTCACAGTGCGACGTTCCGCAAGTGTCACACTTCAAAACCTGAAAAACGAATGTACTGACAGTTTGAGGAAGAAGGGCAACATCAGTAAAAGGAAGAGGAAGAAAAAGGGTTGGCAGCTGGACTCACAACTTAACTATACTCATCTGGGCCATCAGATTCCCAATAGGGGCATTACGTGAACGATCTTTTATACGCGTTGGGTCTTCAGTTGCCTCTAAAGGCTACCTGCCTGTCGTTTTCAATGTCTGCTACAAACCGTGAAAAAGAAGACAATAAATCTTAGTTTTAAATTTGAAACATGAAACTGGTCGAAGGACGCTATACTTGTTTCCTTGGCCACCGAGAGGTAATTTAGTAGAGCAACCATTGTTCTGACACTTGTGAGGTTTAGAATGGAAGGAGAAAATCCAGACACACTCAGAGTTAGCATTTTACGGAATTTCTACCTCTCTCCATGATGGCATCTAGTCAGGCTCTACAAGATAGACCCGAGAAAACGACATTCTCTCGGCATCACTTTTACCTGTCTTCAAATCCCACACTGTCCTTCCCTTCTTGAAACAGCTAAGAAAAATTAATAGTGGCAACATTAAGAAGGTACAAGGTCGTGTGACGTCACAGAAATCTAGCTACCAGGTAGCCGTCTGTGACACAGTGGCCACTTTGAAGTAAACGTAGAACACAGCACTTGAATTTCGTGATCTCCTTAACCTTCATCAAACGGCATCTAGTCAGGCCTCAGTTGATGCACACGGAAATTGTATGGTCGACAACAAGGACGACTGGATATTGAAAGATAAGTTTTAATAAACTGTATACTTTTGTTGTTGTAATTAGTTGCTCTGTGATCTCTCCCCCACCCCCACTCACTCTCTCTTCCTCTCTCCTCTCTCTCTCTCTCTCTCTCTCTCTCTCTCTCTCTCTCTGTCTAGGCTAATGAATGTGTGTAGGTTGGGCTGTTAATGAACATCATTGTTCATCGTTGTTGTTATAACTATAGGTAGAATCATGGATCTACATTTTTAGTCACGTGATGGTGAGGAGAAAAACTGGAGTACATCTGACGGCACGAAAGTTGGATTGGAGGAGAGGCAGAGGGAGACCGTGAGAAAAAATGCTGAACAGTTTGACATCATGCCATAAAAGATCATGTGTGTCAGAGTTGATTGAAAAAAGTACACGAGACAGAAGGTTGTGGATAGACATGACTACCAACGCTACAGGGCATGGACTTTAAGAAGAAGAATCATGAAAATGTGAATGCAATCCTGGTGGCTTGCAGATGTTCAGACAATGTGATCCTGTCACAAATTATGCACCTCTTTCTAAAAAAAAAACCTTCCTTGGCTACACCTTTCTATGGCTGCCCTCTATTGTAGTCAACTTTCTGTCACATCAGAATCAGTATCTTTCTTCGTCTGAATGAGGCAGTTCCATTACTGTTCCCTTCTTGTAGCCAGTCATGCTGCCCTTGTGCGCATTTGGCATCCCCTGTGTTAGTGTCTCAGATTTGTTTTTTAATCTGTCAACCTGCTTGAACATCACACACCCGATAACACAAAGTGCCACCATGTGGATAAGGGTCACCGCCGAGAGGTCCCAGAAACCGCGTTAAGCAATTAGACCATGTTTATGGCCAGGCTATATTGCGGCCCCTGGCAAAAGCCAGAGTAAAACAAAAAAATTCATCCTAAAAAGGACAGAAAGTTAAACGTAACTGGAAAACCAAAGGTGCATACATTCCTTTACTGTAACACTCACAGTTAGGTTGAGGAAGTGGGGACAAGCATACGGCTGACTGCTACCACACTTTAAAGAACACAGAGATGAGCAAAAAACGTGGGACAGGGGGAAAAGGTGAGAAAATCACATGACGAGAAGGGAGAAAACCTGTTTGAAGAACACAGATGCAAACAACAAAAGGGGAAATGAAAGTGGTGAGGGGGGGGGGGGGGGGAGATCACATAATGAGAAGAGGAAATAACCGGTTGAAGAATAAGATGGATAGGATGATGACAAGTGGGGGAGAACTCATATGGAATAGCCACAGGAAAAGGAAGTGGAAATAGCTGTTCCATGTTAAAACTACAGTATGAGATGTGGCGGTAAGGGTACCTGAGATTTATTATTGCATACATCTGATATACTTATACAACGGTTTTTATTTAATTTTTTCGCATGTAAAAACAAATAAATTAACATATATTTACTTACATATATAAGGAACGTAGCGAGTCTGTCTCCGCCAAACATGCTAAATGCCTCAGTGCGCATTCTTTCATGTAACACCTCCTGTTTATATGTGAATTTAAAGTTAAAAAGTTACTCAATAATGAATACAACAATCAAAGAATGACATAGACTGTTACGACAAACATAACACTAGTAGTTGACTCTTCAATGATATGAGGGTTTTCGTAGGTGTGTTCGAGATGGGTTCTATCATTTTAAGTATACTGTTCTCGAACGACTCCTTTCTGTAACAATCCTGTTTGCGAACACATTTTTCTGTCGGTCCTCCGCCTGTCTATTCGACTGTCTGTCTCTGTCTTTCTTTCTCACTCTCTCTGTCTGTCTTCTTCTATCTGAATTATTGTTTGTCTTCCCTCCGTCTGTCTCTCTGGTCCTTTGGCCTCTTCTGTATGTCTGCCTCGCGGTCTAAAAGTATGTATATCCGACGTCTGTCTGTTTGACCACTTATTATGTGTCTTCTTCTGGCTATCTGTTATCTGACTGACTGTCTTCTGTTTGTCTGCTACTTTTTTTTTCTGTCTTCTACTGCCTGACCTTTTCTGCTTGTCTGTATGTATATCGTCTTCTTCTGTATTTTTCTGTCTGTATGTCTTCATCAGTCTGTCTGCTTCTATATTACTGTTTTCCTATGTCTGTCTACTCCTTCTGGCTGTTGTCTTCAACCCGTCTTCTACTGCCTTCTCATGTCCGTTTTCCTCTGTTTGTCTCTCTCTTTTTACGTCTGCCTTCTTCTGTCTGAATGTCACTTTCTGTCTGTCGTCTTCTGTCCGTCTTTTACAGTCTATCTGTCTTTTCCTATCTGTCTTCCTCTGTTGATCTTTTTTTTTTCTTCTGTCCGTCCGTCTGTCTGTCTTCTTCTGCTATTTGTCGGTCTGTCTATCTTATTCCGTCCGTCTGTTGGCTCGTTATGTCTGTCTGTCCGTCTATCAGTTGTTATACTGCATGTCTATCCATTTGTCCGTCTTCTGATGTCTGTATTCTGCTGTCCGCCTGTCCGTCAGTTAGTGCCCTGCTGTCTGTCTATCTTTTGCTATATATCTGTCTGTCAGTCTTTGGTTGTCTGTCGGTCTTCTGCTCCCTGTCTCTGTCTGTCATCTGCTGCCTATCTATCTCCATCTCCCGTTTACTGTCTGTCTATCTTATGCTGTCTGTATTTCCTTCTTTATGACTACTGCAGTCTGTTCGTGTTATCTTATTCGTCTGTCTTCTACTGTCTGTCGTTTACTGAATGGATGTCATTTGCTGACTGTCTTTCTGTGCATCTACGTACGTCTTCTTCTTCTGCCTGTATTTTCTGTATATCTGTCTGTCTTTCATTTGTTCAGTCCTCCTCTTCTTCCCTCGTCATATTCTTCCTTCTCCTCCTTCTTACATCTTCTCATTCTCTGTATGTCTGTCTTCTTATTCTGTATTTATCTGTCTGTAAGTCTTCTCCAGTTTAGCTTCATCTATTTTTCTGTTTTCTAATCTTTACTTCTGCTGGCTGTCGTCTTCAAACCGCCTTCTACTGTTATCGTATGTCCGTTTTCCCGTGTGTGTCTCTTTTCTTCTGTCTGTCGTCTTCTGTCTGTCGTCTTCTGTATGACTGTCGTCTTCTGTCTGTCTGTCTGTCTGTCTGTCGTCTTATGTCTGTCTGTCTGTCGTCTTCTGCCTGTCTCTCGTCTTCTGTCTGTCGTCTTCTGTCTGTCTGTTGTCTTCTGTCTGTCTGTCTGTCGTCTTCTGTCTGTCTGTCGTCTTCTGTCTGTCTGTCGTCTTCTGTCTGTCTGTCATCTTCTGTCCTCCTTCTACTGTCTTCTTATCTCCGTCTTTCCGTGTGTGTCTCTTTTTTTATGTCTGTCGTCTTCTGTCTGTCTGTCGTCTTCTGTCTGTCGTCTTCTGTCTGTCGTCTTCTGTCTGTCTGTCGTCTTCTGTCCGCCTTCTACTGTCTTCTTATCTCCGTCTTTCGGTGTGTCTCTTTTCTTTTGTCTGTCGTCTTCTGTCTGTCTGTCGTCTTCTGTCTGTCTGTTGTCTTCTGTCCGCCTTCTACTGTCTTTCTGTCTTTTCCTGGCTAACCTGAGACAAATACAGGAATCCTCTAACCACAAAAAGACAAGATCGTGGATTTCCGCTCATACTGGTAAAATATAGTTTCTTTTTAATTTGATTGATATTTAATTAAGTTGAAATGTTGCATGTATAGTGGAACTGTAATATTCGTCATTAAACCTTTCCCGAGAGGAGGACGTATGTTATAAATGACGAATATCATCGCTGTTTTTGTTTTTTGTTTTGGATTTTTGTTTAATTGAAGAATGGCTTATTCCATTTCCATCCCCGAAATTCGCCCAAAGGTTCTTTAACAAATATGGCATGTCACTTGAAGATCGATCTCGGAAAATATTGGAAATGATGTTACAGAAACGCCAAAACTCACCGTCATTAAATGATTTCACCTGCTGATGAACTATAACGATTTGTGGATGAGAATTCTCGATAAAAACCTGCATTTTTGCTCCAGTAGACAGCCATTACTTAAGTTCAGCATCTAGAACCGGCCTTTCCTTTTCCCCCTAGTTTGATGATTTGCGAATATCACACTTTCAGACGAATATGAAACATAAATTTATTTAATTGCTGCTGTAATATGTAACTGACGATATGACAGGGAATATGCCAGACAATACGTGGTGTAATCTAGTATTTTTTGTTTGTTCAAACATTCACACGTGTGTGTGTGTGTGTGTGTGTGTGTGTGTGTGTAGGTGTGTGTGCGTGTGTGTGTGTGTGTGTGTGTGTGTGTTTGCACGCGCGCGCATCTTATCTTTCTCCTGTGATGAACTTCCTAGTGATCGTTTTTTATCTTCCTCTTTTTTGGTCGTCTCACTGTCGTGAAATGATAGCCATTACGCATCGGTCTGTAAGGCTGATAACCTGACTTACCTGTAATCTGCACACAATTCAAACTTGGACTCGCCCAGAAATATATAGTCCCTCATATATATATATATATATAGGCCTTTATTGGACAACATTATTATGTCTACACTTTCTGGTTGCTTTAACTAAACTCCATTTTTAAATGTATATCTCTTGGAGATATATGAAGGGAGTTATTTGAGGTTTCGTGGAAACCGATTTACTCCTTGCTCATGTATACTAGGGACTTCTTTTTGCACCAACGCCTGAAGTGTCTAAGTGACGCTATTCTCTTTGCCAGCTTCCTAACGTCCAGACGTGTCAATCTATGCCTGTATTATTTCATTTTTCAAGGCATTCTGGAATGTCTCAGTTTTTACATATGCTTGGGTAAGTTAATTATAGTTTACGAGTACCTAAAGTGATGTCTGTAAAGTAGTCACTGCTGTAGAGAGATCAGTATCGGCTGTGTGATCACACTTAGTTCGACCGTTCTTGATCGCTAGAGAAGCGGATTCGAACGTAGACCCTCCCCTGTACAGACTAAATAGCTTATGCCCTCAATAAACCACTCATACTGGTAAAACTTAATACCCTTACAAGTGTGTACTTTTTAAACTAACTATAGAAATCTGTACATACGAAATGGGGACAGAATTGGGTCAGGACTTTGTTAATCAAAGTATGTGTGTGTTTGACCCAGATCAATGAGTGCTAGGGCGAGCTTTGGGAAATCTAGTGAATGCAGGTACTGACAGTAAATATTGGTGTCTGTGTGCAGAGGGAGGGGGAGAGAGAGAGAGTGATATATGTGTTAGAACACTTTATCTATCTCCATTGTATATCTGACTTGCCTTCTCTTGCACTAAACAGACAGATGAATATAGGAGACTTATGTCTCTTGGTCTGGAGAGGCAATCTGAGGAATGAAACAGGAGAGCAGGGGGGAGTCAGCAGCTGGGGGTTGATGACTGATGCTTGTTCTGTCTTTCCTGTCAAGATGTTACCCTCTTGGTGATGACTAATGTTGAGTTATTTTCTTGACAGGATGTATCTTTTGTGAGGAGCTGGCAGAAGATTCACAGTCCAACCAACACCCACCAACTATAACCCAGCAGTCAATTAACCCATCACCCACTTATTATCACCCAACTACCAATTGAGAAGACTGTCCTCCTCAAGATGGGGTACAATATAACCCAAACATCATCCAGTGCCAGAGCATGTGTGTAACTCAGGGACAGTACTGTGAGTTACTCGTGGGAGCAGGTGCTGTATGCCTATCCAGTTGCGGTGTGCCTATCCAGTTACTGTGTGCCTATCAAGGTGCTGTGTGCCTATCCAGTTATTGTGTCCTCTATGGTGAGGTACTCTCTGACTATTTGATCCAGTGGAGCAGAATTTCCAGAATCAAAGACAGTCGAATCATCCGGAGCTGAAGGAGGCATCATAGACAGAAAGGATAGAAGCTAAGTCTGATGCTTCGTGTGCTGTTGTTTTCCTCACAGCTCATTTGTTTCCAATGATGACACATAGTCACCTCCAGGACCGGCTGTCTGTATAGTTTCCTTGGGATCTAGACATTAGTGCTGAGATTCTTTCACTGATAGCTGGAATTCACTTCAATTTGTTTATGTACAGATATTATACTAAATACATGCATTCATTTTCATGGCTGATTAGGTTTTCTCTATGTCACCTTCTTATGTTTAGCAGTTGTATGTGTATGTATCTTCATTATATGTGTTAACATGGTTATGATAATGAACTATCATAACCTGGGGGCTTTCTTTAGTAAGTAGTGGGGGTGTCCAGCCAAGTGTGCCTAGAAATATTGTATTTATATACTGATATATTTTGTAGTGCCAATACTTGAGTTGCCCTACTCCAGAGATAAGTTGAGCGTATATTGGCCACGGGGATTCCCTTAGACCAATACGAGCCAAACGACTCAACATAATTATCTCTGAGTGCTGTTGGTTCTGAAGGAGGAATCCTTACATTAGGCACGCGACAGGAGTGATATGTGACACTCACTAATAACTGGTTATTTTACCCCAGTACAGTGCTTTTCTGTATTTGTCTTGCGTGTCTTGTATGACTAGAGTAGTAGATTTGTTCATATTTGTACATGTTCAAGCTGCACAATTTATCCTTCTCTTCTTTGGTCGTCTCACTAATAACAGGTTGTCTTACTCCAGTGGCGTGCTTTTCTGTATTTGTCTTGTGTGTCTTGGATGACTTGGATAGTAGATTTGTTCATATTTGTACATGTTCCATCTACAACATTTATCCATCTCTTTCTTGGTTTTCCCTCATATTCCTCCCTTGTGTTCAGCTGTAAAAAGTAGTCATAGTCTGTGCGGTCTTTTTTTTTACCTTCTCATTTTTTAAATTGAAGTAAAAATCAACAGTTTTAAAAAATTATTTCAATTTAAAAAAAATAAAAGCTTATGTAGAAACAAAAAGTTTTCTCATAATTCATTTCACTCTATTGATAGGCAGATTTTTCTTTCTTTAGCATTTTACCTACGGACTGAACTGAATACTGAAGGTTGTATAACTAGTACTTAAAAACTCCTACTAGGATGGTAATCCAACAGGGGGAAATTCCAGATATTAAATACAACCTTAAAAAGTCACACACACACACACACAAAAACCAGAATAATTAGGTCAAACTAGTATCAAATGCTGTTAACTAGCGAGAGCGAATCCTCCAAACAGTCATTAAGATGCGAAACAAATAGACTGAGGAAACTGGGACGTCTAAGAGAGACTGTGCCGGTTCTGCACCATCTTGTGTTGTACTGATGTATGACAAGCTGGATGTTGTGAGGGTCCTTTGGGAGCAAGTGAACAATGCCGATGAACAGATAAATCATTACGGTCTGAGGAGAATGGCGCTGCGAGGAGTTACCATGGGATCTGATCGACACGCGACACTCAGGGGAAAGGCGAGACAGGGGAAAGGCGAGATCCGCGCTTCACGGATCCATCTGGGTAGATGATATCTTCTGGGTCTGATTGCTGATCCCTTTACGTCTGTGTCTACGGCGGCAGGAATATGATCCCTGCAGTACCTTCAGAGTGGAATGACAACCTTAGAGTTGCCATGCATGTCTGCTGGTATATTCGTCCGTTCTTCTCTGTGACTGATCACGTCTATGTCACATACCTGCTGGATTAAATCCTCAGCCTTTGCCATCCAAGAGCGGCCTCTTTTGAGACGCGTTCCTTTTGTGTCGTGTATAGCTTTGTGCAGGGGGTGGTTATCGTCTGCCGATACGCTCATGTACGCCTTGACTTGTGCGACTTTATATCTGCTTGTCATCGTCGGCAAACCCAGGACACAACGGATGGCGTTGCATGAGGAAAGTGCAGCCAAGTGTGAGTCTCATGGCCTCATTTTGTACTCGGTCCAGTCTTTCTAGCAGGGTTTTGCTGACATTGAGGAGGGCAAGACCATAGTCAATGACGCTTAACACAAGCCCTTGATAGATAAGAAAAAGTAGGCGTTGTTCAATATCAGCTACTGCTAGCACCTTGCGTGCTGTCAGACCTTTCCTAGCTCTAAGTTTGACGTTGCCTACGTGGCAACGGACTTTATCCAGGAAGTGCTATTTCTGGCAAGCTGATTAATATTTTGTGTAATTTTCTTAGTTATGACACAAACATGAGAATTCCACGAAATGAAATGACGCTCTGTCCAGACACGCGCAAGTTTCTTCGTTTGTCTGTGTCAAGGATATCACAATATCAATGACGCATCGTGTATTCCCGGCAGAAGTGCTTGTCGAATCGATATTTGATCCGAATAAACGTCTGCAAGGACACAGACGCCCTCAGTCCGTGAGCGACACACAACAGAGCGATATGTGACAACTAAGTGATACAACTAGACGACAAACATGATTAAACTTACCTTACCAAGGAAGTCATAATGCAAGCCATATTGGCCCCCAGTTCCGTAGCTAGCAACCTGCAATGATTAAATTAAAATAGAAACACATAATACACCGTGCCTTATAAAATCAGCATTGTATTTCCGGTCCTTTGCATAAAGTCGCTCTCATCACTGCATTCTACAAATCCCTTGGGTTCCTTGTCCGAAATTCTCGCCTCATCTAAGAGGAGTCAGTTTACTTTTTCGCCAGGAACTCTGGGATTAGAGGGAGTAAACGAGAGTATAGCTTGCTGGGAGGGTGACGGTGAGTTCAGAAAAAGCAATGGACCAGGCTGATATTCTCAGAGCTAGTTCTCAGGGACAGGCGGATGATTTAGGAGACAACGGTGAGACGGCGAATTTGACCATACTGCAGGAACTTCATGTCAAAAGAGGTGTTGACAGAGATGGACGCGATAAAGTGTAACCAAAGAAATATTGTCATCATTAGCATTTTCCAATTATGCCGTTAAGCGTTGTGGGGAGAAACAGTTTGTGGTCTATTAACTTCATGGGCAGCACTGGATATTGTCATTTCGTGTCATTGTAGAAGCTCTTTAATGGCATCAATACATTTACTTCCAGGACTGCCTCCTGCTTTTACTTCAGATCTTTTCATGTATAGCGCGTGCGTTGGTATTTGTTCTGGCTGCATTCTTACTAGATAACGAAACCACGTGATCTTCTATTTCTCAATGAATTTGCTGCATGCTGTTGTTCCTACAGACTGTCTGAAAATATCATTACTAACTTTGACTCGGATGATTAAGTTGGCGACTTTTCTCGGGCATCTCATTTCATGTGTGTTAATTTTACTCATCAGAAGTAAGGCATGGGTGTGTTATTTCACATTTACTTTTTATAATATTTATGAACAATATTAATACAATAGACATTAACACTACCATATGTCGATAAACAGGAGGGTTTCAATGAGCGGCTCTTTGCGGATGATAAGCGCATATTCCGCAGTGAAAGTAAACACCTGCAGGACCACATAAACCAACTACATGACAGTTGCCATAAACATCACATGAAGATTAATGCTAAAAACAAAACAAAAAAAAAAAAACAAAAAAAAAAAAACTAACAGAAGTCATGAGAATAAGCAGAAAGCAACAAACTATCGACATAAATATCAAAGATTAAAGTCTGTGAAACAAGTGCAAGAAGCATCTTGGAAAGCATCTTTACATACAATGGTAAAAAATATATAGAGAGAGAGAGATAAAAACGAGAATCCAACAAGCCAACAATGTCACATACCAACTTGCTCCAATTGTAAAACACCCTGCTATCCCAATAGAGACAGAAAGACAAATTATAAATGCAACATGTATACCGATTTTAGGTTACCAGTGTCAGACTTGGATCTTCCGGTCGAAATGGACGCTAAGCAGGCCACTGTTCGGAGCCGAGGCAAATTTTTTGGCCGATGGATTTTTGTTCCATTTGTAGACTGGATATAGTTTCGTCGCCCAGCTTCTGAGTTGAATGCATAGCGTGCCACTGTGAGCTGCGGATTTCATTTGGAATGTTTTTTTCGACTGTGACCAACGTGGTGGTGTAAATTGTAGTAGATTCAGAAAATGGCGCGACCGCGATGCTTGTCGTCGCAATGTTAGTGGTGCCGGTATGTGATTAAAATTGATCGCGTGGGCAACTGCTACCATCAGTGATGAACTGCATTTCTAATGTCGGACTGTTTGTGTTAGCACTTTTGATGGCTACCGTATGCTTTAATGCGAGTGTATGCTAGATATGCTGAGACAGCAGTATGTCAATCTTTCTACAAGGGACTGTGATAAACATTCTGTGTGTTTTTCGTTGGCACAGGAGCGGAGCAAAGATGGGGCGACCCGTTTGCTATGAAGCTGAAACTAAGACTACTAGACTTGGACATTGACAAAGGAACACGAGATAAAACTAACTACGTGTGAGATAAGATGTGTGAGAATGGCTGTGAAAAAAAAAATCAGAAGAGATCGAGTGAGAAACGACCTGATCATAAGAACTGTTGGAACAACACCCATCGTCAATTTTATTTAGAAACAAAGAATTAAATGGTCAGACATCTAATGAGAATGTAACCAACAATGCCAGCAACAAGAGGGTACAACATGAAAATCGTAACATCAAGATGCAATGGAAGACTGAGAAGAAGAAATATTGAGGGAGTCATGGACACCATAAGATTGCATAACATCAAGGCATATCGAGCGATCAGGCGCGCCCTAGCTCGGCTGCCGATAGTCTGATGAACTGCGAAGCCTAGCGGCATAAGCAGATGTTGACAACAGAACAGAAGAAGTGTATGTAGGTTAGCCTTTGATAATGTCGAATATGTCAAAAAGGACTCAGTGCACTTAACACTATGGATGCAAATGGCATAGAGCAGGGAATGCTTTTCACACTACATCAGCAACTGATCCTTTCAGTGGTTGATTATGACCTGGGACTGCTTACCGCCTCAAAGAGTCAAATGGACAAACTAGAGCGCAAACAGAACGCAGCTGTGCGGGTCATTCTGTGCTGCACCAAAGACACCCCAGTTGTGTGTGGGCGATACATCCTCGGTTTGCCGACGGTTGCAGATAGGCACAAGGTGCTGCAGGCGAAGTCATATCTCAAGGTAGCTGCAGACATAGATCACCATTGGCACGAAGCTCTGGGTGCAGTTAAGGGTCAGTGACTGATAAGAGGGAAGTCATAGAGGCTCAGGCAGAAGACACAATCAGACAGGTTTTCATTCTGAAGAACATTGGGCGAGAAGAGGAGTGGGTCAGGGTGCCAGCTAAATGTTGTCAGGCATGTGTAGAGTCATAATCACGCTGAGTGGGAAATGCAGAGACTGGCCAGCAGGTACCACGGAGGTGGAAATTCAGCAATTAATTCAAGATAATGACCAGTCAGTGGACGTGATTATTTATACAGACGGTTCAGTGTCAAGAGGTAAAAGAAGTGCTTGGGGTTTCTTAGCAAAGGTTAATGGTCGACGTTTGGTGCAGGAGAGCCTAGTATATGATACCACAAAATCCAAGAATGGAAGTCGGGGCGATCAGCGCAGCCTTTCGCTGGCTAGTGAGAACGACACACTCTCACACATATACACACACACACACACACACACACATACACACACACATACACACACATATCGTGTTTGTAACTGACCCAGAAAGCATGCTGAGGAAGGTCAAGAAAGGTATGCATCGTGCAGAGAGGCTTGCGGAGGACACGGGTGAGGAGTATTGACTGGATTTTTTTTCTAGGATACGCCGGTATGTTGGTAAATGAACAAGCGAACAGACTGGCTAGCTCTGCACAATTTGGTGGAATATTATTGCATTATAAGGCAGACGTTGTTGGGGCCTTATGGGAGAGCGTGTACAGTTCGGTGGAGCAGATGGATCACCACAGTCTGGTGAGATTGATGCATCGGGGAGTGGGGAATGGTTCTGGCTCATAGGAAAGGCAAGACGGACGTATAATCAGAATGCTACTGGCACCATTGGTATCGGAACTCTGTGCTGGCTCCTGAAGATAGGGACGGAGCGCTTATGGAAATGACCCGAGTGCTGTGATGTCGATTTTTGAATTAAATCAATCAATCAGTCATGAGAATGTCTAAGTGTGGCACTGGTAGCACAGTGTTGGTATGAATATGCTGTTTATAATCTGTTTCTTTCAGCTCATACTTACGTTTGGCTGTCTTAATAACTGTGTCATTTAGTATGTTAGTGTACTGGCTGGTTGTTTCTAGCTTCGAGTTCCCAAGAAAATAGTCAAATTATAGTTTAATTCTTTGTTAATTAGTAAGTTAGTTGGTTGAGTTATGATCATTGCATTTAAGATGTGTCCATAGGTGCTCAGATCTTCCCCTCATTCTGAACCCCAGCGTACGGTGGCTAATAATACCAGTTCCATGTTGATTAAACGAGTCCTCTGATGTGTCTAGTGTGCGTCTCGTTTTTGCCATACCGATCTTAACTCCCAAATCTGTCATTCTGGGGGGAGATGTAAATTCACTGCCTCCAAAGTTCTCCACCGTTCCTATTTCTCGGAGAGCAATAATAATTTCAACATGATTTATAGGCTGACGGTTGGTAATGATAGCTGATCCAGCCAGCCTATCAGCTCCATCCTTTGCCAGCGGACCTGAAACAAAACTAGCGGTGACTCCACGCACGGAGTACTTTTGTTATGATTCAAGCCATCGCCTTTGCACCGAACCTGCCCGAAACCTCCGGATCATACTTATTGAATTACTCAGTACACAAGCGCAGGTGTAAATTTGTTTTTCTAGCCACGCGAACGCTTGCGTTACTGCCATCACCTCCATCGTCATGCTGCTGGTTGTCATGGAGAAGGTGCTGTTTTTAACTTATTTTAATCATACATCATTTAACCTTGTATGTAGCTGATTCGGAATTCTGCTGACCTGCATTATTTCAGTTTTATTAGTATGTATTTTCATGGATTATCTTCTGCATGTTGAACTTAACCTGTTCAAAAAAGAGAGTATTTGCCTTGAATTCCTTGTTCTTTGTCTACCTTGTGATCTTCGTCAATCTTCTCTTTACTTGTATGCCTTTTGTTGTATAGCGTCACATATTTCGCTTTGATTAATTCATTTGTATATAATTTAGAGTTTTTTTTTCTTCCGACCTAATCTTATATAAACCTAATTCCTGATTCTGCTACTCGTGCAGCCCTTCTCAAACATCTGGTTCCAATAGTCAAAAAAAAAAAAAAATTCTGGTTTCTTATGAGTGATCATGTCTGTCACTTGTAGCATTGAGTACGCCTACTGTAGATTTAAGTCCCTATACTGATATCGTTAGGACTATCATAGCAATTTTGATTCTTAGGATGACAATGATGAAAGCAGCGATGATGTTGATTATAGGCCTAATAAAATCTGTATCATAAATACCTGAAACTGCTCGGCACTGAAAGCGCTACCAGGCACGTAGGTTTCCGTGTTAAGGTTGGTGATGGCTGCCACTCTCAAAGTTAAAGGTCCCATTATTTCTGGCGAATCCCAATTTTGGAATAATGCGCTGCAAACAAGAAAGCTATCATTATATTCAATTTTAGTAAATAACTCTAAAAACTCTCTTTAATGGTTAGGTCTACGTTGTTGATACTTGGAATGCAGCTTGTTAACAATAATGAAAAACACGTAGCAAATGGTCGAACAATGTCAATAAACAAGTGTAATGTCTAAATATTCCCACGGCAATTCTCTAAAACAATAATATTGGAGTAAACATGAGACAAGAAAGAAATAAAGACAACGTGAATACTCGTAGAAACACGAGATATACAGACAGGGTTCAGACCCGCACGTGAAACCCAAAACTAGAGTTATAAGGTTAGACCAAAATCTAATCAGTTAGTATGTGTTTGGCAGCTGGCGTGAAAGGTTGTATCTGATAGACTCGTGAATGTGACTTTGTATAACTGAAGACGTGAAGGTGGTTCTTTTTATTGAGACGACAGCCAGACGACAACCTGATGACAGCCTAACCAGAAGTGGTAGCCGACAAGTTCTAACCGGCCACGAAGTCTAACCGCCATTATCAGAGTTGCTGGATCAACCATTATGTGTGTTGCGTGTGTAAGAAAACAGGACTGAAGGGTAACGAGTGTGGAAGGGAGTAGACGTCAATTATGTACTTGATAAATGTCCTCGTATCAGCTGTGAAGTTTAATAAAGGATATAACTGGATTTCGTCTGCTAGTTACCAACTGTGTGCATTCAAAATGTCATCTGTCTTACATATGAAAAACCCATAGCAACCAGTCAGCATACCGAGGAGACAATATCCCAACAAGACAAATTATTGTTACAGTCGGCTGAAAAACTGTTGAACCTTTTAACTTCTGTTGTCCACGTGGTGATTGTGTGTGTGTGTGTGTGTGGGGGGGGGGGCCCGGGGGGAGGGGGGATTGACCCACTGCCACCTTTCAAGAATGTCATAAAGACCAAATTTTTGCGCTTGCGTGTTTTTTTAAAAGTCGGTTTGCATTTGCCTTAAAAGTGAGAAACCGACAGTCTACATACAGATAACTCAGATCTGTAAAGGGTATGTGCATGCAAGTTTTGGAAGAAGATTTAGGTCCAGAAGCGGAAACAAATCTGGACTTTTCTGCCGTAGTTTACAGCCGGTGAACTCAAAGAAGTAGCAAGAATAATTCGGTATTGTTTAGCTTCTAAGCAGCTGTTGCTAAAAAACCACTTGCTTCAAGAAGTTAAGCTTCATCATCATCATCATCACGTGCCCTGACGACTAGCGTAGTCGTTCATGCATCTCCACAGATCTCTGTCCCCTGTTTTCAGGATCAGTTCCACCGATGATATCTCTCCATGCCACCGTCGCAGTCCATCCGTCATCTTCTCTCTCGGTCTGCCTCTCCTTCTTCTACTGCTCAAACATTCTCCTTAGACTCGCTCCTATTCACATGCCCCCCCCCACCCCCAAAAAAAGTGCTTGTATTTTCCTTATAGCTGTATGTATTGATCTGCTTTCATTAGTTTCCTTCAAACAATCTTTGTTAGTTTCTCTAGCAGACTAAGGGATTCTTAACATACGTCTGAGAAACCACATCTCCGTCGCCTCCAAGGTCTTTCTAATTTGTGTATTCACATTCCATGATTCACTACCATACAGCAATATAGGTTCTACATAACATTTTAGCACTCTCTTTCGAACATCCAAAGAGTGGGACCTATTACACAAGATGTTTTTCACTCTGTGAAATGCTTAGCCTAGCCTATTCTGCTCTTAATTTCTGGCATATTTCTTCTGTCTGATGTTTTAATTGTACCCATATATTTGAATTTATCGACTTGTATTAACTTTTAACCTTCTATTCTAATATCACACTGTGGTGGTATTATATTAGGCCTAAAAGCAATAAATAGTAATGCCACCTTTACTTCCAAAAGCATTTCCCATTTAGGATCGGTCAGTCTATAATTTGTTTCAAAGTTGACCCGAAACGGTTTGGAACCCAAAACTCTCATGTCGGCAGACAAACATCTAGTCAATGCGGTACAATAGCTCCCGTTTTCACTTACGGATCCTTTCAGTGATTGATTATCGACTAGGACTGCCTAATATCTCAAAGATTCAGATGGTTAAAGTGCATACAGAGCGCAGCATTGCGAGTCATTCTGTGTTGCGCTACAGATGCTCAAGTGGTGTGTATGCGATACATTCTTGGTTTGCCGACTGTTGCTCAAGATGATGCAGACGAAGCCATATTTCAGAGTAGCTGCAGACACAGATCAACCTTTGCAAGGAGCTCTGGGCGCAATTACGGGTCAGCGTTTGTTAAGAGGGAATTCATTGATGGCGCAGGCATAAGACAAATTCAGACAGGTTTGCATCCTGAAGAGTATAAGGCGAGCTAGGAGTCGGTCAGAGTGCCAGCGGTACAGACATATTTGTGTAGAATCATAATGACATTAAGCCGGGAGCGCGGAGAGTGGCAAGCGGGTGCCACGGAGGGAGAAATTCAGCAGTTAATTTAAGTTAACGCTCGGTCAGAGGATGTGGTCACTTACACAGATGGTTCTTTTGAGACAAAAGAAGTTCTTGGTACTTGTTGGCGAAAGTTAATAGTCGACGTTTGGTGCAGGGGGAGCTTAGCATATGATACCACAACATCCAGCTTCGGAATGGAGGTGGAGTCCGTCACTACAGCTTTCTGCATGTTAAAGAACACGTCACTCACACACACATCGTGATTGTAACTGACTCAGAAAGAACATTGAGAAAGTTCAGGACAGGAGTGCTTTGTGCAGATTGGCATGCTTCGCTGCTGAGGTCACGGGTGAGAAGTATTGTCTGGAATGTTATTTTCCATGGATTCGCCGGTGTGTTGGGAAATGAACAGACGGACAAGATGGCTGGCTGTGCACAACTTGGTGGAATATTGATGCATGATAAGGCAGACGTGGTTAGGACCGTGTAGGAGAGCGTGGACAATTCGGAGGAGCAAATGGATCACCCGAGTCTGGTGATATAGATGCAGAGGGAAATGACAAGGGGTTCTGGCCAAAGCTTGACGCTCAGAGGAAAGGCAAGACGGACGTATAATCAGAATGCTACTGGCACCATTGGTATTGGAACACTGCGCTGACTGTTGAAGATGGGGACGGACCGCTTATGGCAATACCATGAGTGCTGAGATGTCGGTTCTTTAATCAACTCAGTTCAGATCAACTCTGCTTCTAAAATGGCAAGCTGTTTCACCAGAAACTCCTAGGACCCTTGTGGACTCTATGCCATGCTGCAAACCGCGGTCATACCCGATTTTGAAATGTCTAGTTGTCTAATATCTTTTGTGGCTTAGGCGTTGCGAACATGCTTCGTAATTCCGGCATGCCAAGTTTGATCCCAGCGGCGAGTCCTGCGCCTTGCATTGGTTTCCAGAGCGGTATCGAGAAGCCGACTTTCCAGATAGCAATGGCAAACTATTGGACGTTAATTTTCCTAGATAAACCACAACAGCCAAATGGTGGGGTTGGTTCTGCAACGTCCTGTACAGGATCCGGAACCAACATATATATTTACACACACACACACTTAGGTTACACTTACACGTGACTTGTCCTGTAGTTATGAATGTGCAAGGTACCACTAGATACAATGGTGCCTCTCTGTAACTGTGGATCACATAGTGTATATTTAATTCAAACTTAAAAGTGAATGAAGAAGTCTTGAAAAAATAATTAACTCATGGTGGGAAATTATAATTTGTATAAAAAATGGCATATTTTTTGGTCACGCAGTGAGAAGACAAAAACTGAACACAACGCGACAATAGTCAAGCTGAAGAAAATGGGTGTTAGCGACAGAGAAGGCATTGATAGAGTGAAATCATGGTGTGGATAACGAAATATAATGGCATGATTGGTATTTATGAAGTAATATTATGGTATGATAAAGTAATATCATTATTTGATTAAGTAATATTATAATAAAGATAAAGTATTATTATAGTATGATAAAGTAATATCATAGTATGATAAAGTAATATAATGGTATGGATAAAGTAATATGCAAAGTATGATAAAGTAATATCACAGTAGGATAAAGTAATATCATGGTATAGATAAAGTAATATCAAAGTGTGATAAAGTAATATCATGGTATAGATAAAGTAATATCATGGTATGATCAAGTAATATCATGGTATAGCTAAAGTAATATCATATTATGATAAAGTAATATCATAGTATGACAAAGTAATATCATGGTATAGATAAAGTAATTTCGTGGTATGATAATGTAAAATAATGGTATAGATAAAGTAATATCATGATATGATAAAGTAAAATCATGGTTTGATAAAGTAATATCATGGTATAAATAAAGGTATCATAGTATGATAAAGTAATATCATAGTATGATAAATTAATATCATGATATAGATAAAGTAATTTCATGGTATGATAATGTAAAATAATGGTATAGATAAAGTAATATCATGATATGATAAAGTAATATCATGATATAGATAAAGTAATAGCATGCTATGATAAAGTAATATCATAGAATGATAAAGTAATATCATGGTATGATAAAGTAATATCAAAGTGTGATAAAGTAATAACATAGTATGATAAAGTAATATCATAGTATGATACGGTAATATTATAGTATGGTACAGTAATATCAAAGTATAGATAAAGAAGTATCATAATATGATAAAGTAATATCATAGTATGGTAAAGTAATATCATGGTATAGATAAAGTAATATCATGGTATAGTAATAAAGATAAATGGTATAGATAAAGTAATATCATATATGATAAAGTATATATCATGGTATAGATAAAGTTAATATCATCGTATGATAAAGTAATATCATGGTATAGATAAAGTAATGTCAAGATATGATAAAGTAATATCATAGTATGATAAAGTAATATCATAGTATGATAAAGTAATATCATGGTATAGATAAAGTAATATCATATTATGATAAAGTAATATCATAGTATGATAAAGTAATATCATAGTATAGATACAGTAATATCATGGTATGATAAAGTAATATCATGGTACGATAATATCATGTAAGATATAATATGGTATAGATAAAGTAATATCATAGTATGATAAAGTAGTATCATAGTATGATAAAGTAATATCATGGTATAGATAAAGTAATATCATGGTATGATAAAGTAATATCATAGTATGATAAAGTAATATCATGGTATGGATAAAGTAATATCATAGTATGATAAAGTAATATCATGGTATAGATAAAGTAATATCATAGTATGATAAAGTAATATCATGGTATAGATAAAGTAATATCATGGTATAGATAAAGTAATATCATAGTATGATAAAGTAATATTATGGTATAGATAAAGTAATATCATAGTATGATAAAGTAATATCATAGTATGATAAAGTAATATCATGGTATAGGTAAAGTAATATCATAGTATGGTAAAGTATTATCATGGTATAGAATAAGTTATATCATATTATAATACAGTAATATCACAATATGATAAAGTAATATACAGTATGATAAACTAATATCATAGTATGATCAAGTAATATCATAGTATGATCAAGTAATATCATAGTAGGATAAAGTAATATTATAGTATGATAAAGTAATATCATGGTATAGATAAAGTAATATCATATGATGATAAAGTAATATCATAGTATAGAAAAGTAAAATCATGGCGTAGATGAAGTAATATCATGGTATGATAATGTAATATCATGGTATAGATAAAGTAATAGCATAGTATGATAAAGTATTTTCATAGTGTGATAAAGTAATATCATGGAATAGATACAGTAATATCATGGTATGACAAAGTAATATCATGGTATGACAAAGTAATATCATGGTATAAGAAAGTAATATCATGGTATGATAAAGTAATATTATAGTATGATAAAGTGATATCATGGTATGATAAAGTAATATCATGGTATAATAAAGTAATATCATGGTATGATAAAGTAATATCATTTTATGATATAGTAATATCATGGTTTGATAAAGTAATATCATGGTAAGGATAAAGTAATATCATTGTATGATAAAGTAATATCATAGTATGATAAAGCAATATCATGGTACAAATAAAGTAATATCATGGTATAATAAAGTAATATCATGGTTTGATGAAGTACTATCATGGTATGATAAAGTAATATCATGGTATGATAAAGTAATATCATAGTATGATAAAGTAATATCATGGTATAGATAAAGTAAAATCATTTTATGATAAAGTAATATCATGGTATAGATCAAGTAATATCATGGTATGATCAAGTACTATCATGGTATGATAAAGTAATATCATGGTATGATAAAGTAATATCATGGTATAATAAAGTTATATCATGGTTTGATAATGTATTATCATGGTATGATAAAGTAATATCATGTATTGTAAGTAATATAATATATAATTAGTGTTTATAAAATAATGTCATGGTATGATAAAGTAATGTCATGATTTGCTTGGCGTGATATTGTAGTATAATAGTATGACTAGTATAGATAAAGTGATAACATGGTACGACAAAGTGATACCATGGTAAGGATACAGTAATATAAAGGTATGATTGTTTAGAATACAGTAATATCATGGTATGATAAAGTAATATAATAGTATGGCTTAAGTAATTTCATATTGAAATACAGTTATATAATGGTATGGGTAAAGGAGCAAGACGGAAGACCATTTATAAACGCGTGTTGAATGAAGTAAAATAAAAAAACATGGTAGCGGGAATAGATGGTAGTACAACAGAAATGCTCTTGCATATCAGACAACAGCTACACCTTGGTTGACCATAAACTTTACATAGCTTTGGAGGTACATAAGTTCCAAGTGACTGGCAGAGAGCAATCATTGTCCCCATTTGGAAGAATAAAGGGGATAAAAGGGTCTGTAAAACATACACAGGCATCTCCATTTTAAGCCAAACTAGAAAAAATATTGGAATTTAGAGCACCAGCACAACTAAAGCCCCAGTTAAGTACGAGACAGTTCGGTTTTAGGAAGAGAAAGAGCTGTACAGATGCAATATTTTTTTAAGGTAAGGCAGATAAGCTAGCAGTCTGATGAATGTGATAGATGTTAACAGCTTAGATCAAAAGAATGTACATGGTTGAGTCAATAGATGCAAACTCTGGACAATTCTAGAGGATTACGGCCTTCAAGATCAACTGTTGAGTGACTCATGGCTCTTTATCAAAATAGGCAGTTACATAAAGTGCTTCAAGGGTGACTATGATGTTCTTATCGAAGTTGACATTTCTCATTATTTACCAGATTCGAGCACGCCACACACGATCAGATGCCTGACAGAAGCAGTCAACGAAGTTATGGAATAGATTGAACGAATGACTTAATAGTTTCACATCTCTTCAGGTGTCACACAGGGATATGTCCTCTCACCATTGCTATCCATTACTTACATCAACAGAATTACAAAAAAGGCAAACACAGGCACTGAAGAAATCAATGAACTTGTTTTTGCAGACGATCAATGTCTAATACACCACCAAGAACAGAATTTACAACACCATACTGACTCCTTACATCATGCTTGCACATAATATGACATGAGATAAAACTGAGGTAATAAGGATTGGCAGGAAAGATAATATCATGAACGTTCACGCTAACGGTACTAGAATCAAACAATTTCGAGAATTCAAATACTTATGAAGCATATTTACAGAGGTTGCCAGACTCGATAGAGAGATGGAAGCCAGAGTACAGAAGACAAATGCTGTCACCAACTAGTTTGCCCCTCTGCCTAGACATCAAATGACGTGGGCGCCCAGTTGACCTAGCGTTAAATTGGTATAAGTTAAAGTCATTGGAAGTAAAGGCGGTCGGTGTGATGCTAACCAGATCACCCATCGAGTGCCGACTGTTCTATAGAATATAGGTCTAGCACTATATACTCAATGCCCTTGAAGATGTGGAAAAGGGGCCTTAACTTTATATGTCATCCCTCGCCGACTGGTCTTTAATAATGTGGATCTATTCCTGATCCACCAATGGTGTGAAGAAAGTTTCTTTGGTTTATTTTGGTTTATTTTGTTTTGTTTACGAAACCGCAAAGAGCCGACAGTGGCGTTAAAGAGAATACAAATAGCCTGCCTTGTTTTGTGCCGCTGCTTTCAGCGCCTCTATTTCTTGGTCGGTGATGACATCATAGAAGAGAGTCACATAGGGCGAGATGGAAATCATCTCTTGCTTAAATCTGTGGTATGGAAGTATGCCATCTTTGTAGCTGCAGGATATCCTGGGGTAAAACTTTTTCTGAAAACGTAACAAACGGTATCAATCAGCCTATTTTTACAGAGAAAAAAGAAGAAGAAGAAGAAGAAGAAGAAGCAGAAGAAGGAAGAAGAAGAAGAAGAAGAAGAAGAAGAAAGAAGAGAAGAAGAAGGTAAGAAAGAAGAAGAAGAAGAAGAAGAAGAAGAAGAAGAAGAAGAAGAAGAAGAAGAAGAGAAGATTGAAGAAGAAGAAGACGAAGAAGAAGAAGAGAAGAAGAAGAAGAAGGAAGAAGAAGAAGAAGAAGAAGAAAGAAGAAGAAGAAGAAGAAGAAGAAGAAGAAGAAGATAGAAGAAGAAGAAGAAGAAGAAAAGAAGAAGAAGAAGAAGAAGAAGAAGAAGAAGAAAGAAGACGAAGAAGAAGAAGAAGAAGAAGGAAGAAGAAGAAGAAGAAGAAGAAAGAAGAAGAAGAAAGAAGAAGAAGAAGAAGAAGAAGAAGGAAGAAGAAGAAGAAGAAGCAAAAGAAGAAGAAGAAGAGAAGAAGAAGAAAGAAGAAGAAGAAGAAGAAGAAGAAGAAGAAGAAGAAGAAGACGAAGAAGGAAGAAGAGAAGAAGAAGAAGAAGAAGAAGAAGAAGAAGAAGAAGAAGAAGAAGAAAGAAGAAGAAGAAGAAGAAGAAGAAGAAGAAGAAGAAGAAGAAGAAGGAAGAAGAAGAAGAAAGAAGAAGAAGAAGAAGAAGAAGAAGAGAGAGAAGAAGAAGAAGAAGAAGAAGAAGAAGAGAAGAAGAAGAAGAAGAAGAAGAAGAAGAAAGAAGAAGAAGAAAAGAAGAAGAACGAAGAAGAAGAAGAAGAAGAAGAGAAGAAGGAAGAAAAGAAGAAGAAGAAGAAGGAAGAAGAAGAAGAAGAAGAAGAAGAAGAAGAAGAGAAGAAGAGAGAAGAAGAAGAAGGAAGAAGAAGAAGAAGAAGAAGAAGAAGAAGAAGAAGAAGAAAGAAGAAGAAGAAGAAGAAGAAGAAGAAGAAGAAGAAGAAGAAGAAGAAGAAGAAGAAGAAGAAAGAAGAAGAAGAAGAAGAAGAAGAAGAAGAAGAAGAAGAAGAAGAAGAAGAAGAAAGAAGAAGAAGATAAGAAGAAAGAAGAAGAAGAAGAAGAAAGAAGAAGAAGAAGAAGAAGAAGAAGAGAAGAAGAAGAAAGAAGAAGAAAGAAGAAGAAGAAGAAGAAGAAGAAGGAAGAAGAAGAAGAAGAAGAAGAAGAAGAAGAAGAAGAAGAAGAAGAAGAAGAAGAAGAAGAAGAAGAAGAAGAAGAAGAAGAAGAAGAAGAAGAAGAAGAAGAAGAAGAAGAAGAGAAGAAGAAGAGAAGAAGAAAGAAGAAGAAGAAGAAGAGAAGAAGAAGAAGAAGAAGAAGAAGAAGAAGAAGAAGAAGAAGAAGAAGAGAAGAAGAAGAAGAAAAGAAGAAGAAGAAGAAGAAGAAGAAGAAGAAGAAAGAAGAAGAGAAGAGAAAGAAGAAGAAGAAGAAGAAGAAGAAGAAGAAGAAGAAGAAGAAGAAGAAGAAGAAGAAGAAGAAGAAGAAGAAGAAGAAGAAGAAGAAGAAGAAGAAGGAGGAGGAGGAGAAGGAGGAGGAGGAGAAAAACGCCGATAACAACAACAAGAATAACAGTAGGAAAAGAGCACAACGATCACCAATAACAACAACAAGACTTTTGAAGGGATGTATCAAGAACTGACAATACTACACTTGGGACATTCGCTGGTTAACGACGTCGCCTTCTTTAACGGAGATTTGACATGCTAATGGTACCAGTAGCTAGACGTTAGCACACACACCACACACACTAACACACACACATCACACACACTCTTTCTCTCTTTTCCTCACACCCACACACACACACCCACACACAAACATGACTCTATTAGGATATTCTGGAGAGGAACATCCGCCTTACAAACTTGAACAGATCAAAGTCATATAACTTGCATTCGTAAGAGATTTAGACGTTTGTCTATGAGATCTAAGTAAGACCTAAAGACTCTTCAGGGCATAGCAAATGCTTTTTTAAACAAAAGTTACTAATGCATTTATCAGTATTTGTGTAATACCAAATTGATACGTATATCAAGTTTTGAAATAATAAACAGGGGTCATAAACTAGTGATATTACCAGTGTTATCTTAATTTTGTAGCTGGCAAACCTTTGAAGTCTTGATCTGCTTTAGGTTCCTTAGGAATCTCAAGATTAAATACTGAGTTCTGTTTCCAGTTTCGATAGATGAGAATCCTGCTGAGCTGCTGTGTAAACAGATGTAAAATAGACACAAGAAAATAGACAAAAAACGCCCACAATGCTTTTGGAAATAATACAAATATGAAGAAAAGAACCTTAACAATCGTTAATTTCGGCCGCCAGCCCCTCCACCGCTTAACGACAAAGTGTACGTTGCTGCCAGAAAACTTTCATCAACAATTATGTTGTACGATGTTAATATTACGTAAAGAAAACATAGAACACAATTGACGAATCTCTGAAATAAATCAACCTGAGGTCCACGAATAATATTGGTGATGGGCAAAATATTTTTTTCCCACACTGAAACTCGTCCTGTATCTCACTTTTCTGGTTTCTATCTCCTAACGCGACTTTTTCCTCTTCTGATTTTCTGACCCCCACCAAAGGTCCTCTTGAAAATCCTCTTTTAGTTATTACGATGTTACTTTCTCCTAGATTTCTATTGTCTCTCTCGGACGGCTATAACAATTGGAACGCCGTTTTATCTTTCCCTCTGATATGGATGTTCTAAATGAAGCAGAACCATTTCCTTTGTCATTAGAAAACTAGTCCCGCTCAAGTCACTTTTCGTTTCAGGATCAAAAACATATGCATACCCCTTTTGGGTCCTGTGTAGCACAGCTCTTCTTCTTTGTTGCGTACGTGATGTCACACAAGGTTCGTCTTTAGGTTTTGCTAACAGGAGGAGTCGATTGGGAAGGTTATAGACGAGGAGAAGATGGTCATGTTGATAGTGGTGGTGATGATGATGATGTCTTGCTTGCTGCATGCTTCTCACGTGACTCTGGTGCTTGTGTAATAAAATGCCTGGAAACAAACAGCGC